GACTTTTCAGAGGCCAGAAGGGTGGATTTATGAGGTTGTTTTGCAAGAAAGTCGTAACAAACCCTGGCTACCTATGCTTAGAGGTGAACATACTGAAAAATTGGGCATAATAATTATACGTGTGGGAGAAACAGAAGCAGTAACGTATATGTAAAGTTGGCAATTATATAACCCAAAATCGTGCAGTGGGTTTCATTCAGTTCTGATATGAATGTGAAGATTGTGCACGCGTGATCTCCCATGGCCACTTGTATTAAAAGCGAACACGACGTGGCGATTACACTTGTGGCCGAATAAAAGCCCAATATTAACGTTAATCACCACGGTTGGTAAGAAATCCTTAAAGTTCCTCTCTGATGACGCATAATATGCTCTGTCGTGGAAAATAAAAAAGAATATGCACTGTATCTCGTTGTTTATTTTTTCTTTACTTAAAAGACAAGTGTCAAGATTGTAACACTCATAGAAAACACATCTGAACCGTAAAGTGATTTATTTGAAACTCAACAAGTATATAACATAACGTTATAGTAACGTATATGACGTCATCATACTATGACGTCATAAGTCGGTAAATGTCATTAATATAATTGCATTGAACGGTAATTTAGAAAGGTATTACTGTCTATAATTCATAACATTCTCCGGCCCACCAAAGTGTCCATATTTCACAACATTCTCCGTCCCACCAAAGTACGAATTGAGTAAGTCCTTGGACCGAGAAATAAAAGGAAATTTGAATGAAAGATGAATAAAAATCCTCGAAAAGTTATTCGCAATGTCACATGAAATGTACGCTCTTCCACTTCATAAAGTTCGGATTTGCTCTATGTCTTTGAGTTTGGCTATGGTACCATCACATATACGAATAAAGTCTCATAAGAAATTGTCTTTCTCCTTACTCTAATGTCCGAAGTACTCCATGATGAATGCATTCTCCTTGGCTTGAATTTGCCCCTTATGCTGATCAATCTGATGATTCATAATCTTCACCCTCCTCTTCATCTCTGCGATCTCATCCCGTGACTCAATGAGGTTCTGACTGTATGTCCTCTCGACATCTCTAAAAGTTTTGAATGTGTTCTCCTGTTGCCTGATATTGGTGTCATCCACAGAAATCCTCTTGAAGTCAACAATCTGCATGCTATGAACTTTGTTATCCTCTGCGTAATTCCGAGTTAGATTGTTGTTCTCACTAGTGTAGCGGTTTTGTTCCTTTTCTAGTTGGTTGATGATGTTTATCTTTTCCTTGATCGCCTCTCTGTAACTCTGTTCCAGGTTATTCTTATGAACGTTATCTAGTTTCTTGGATATCTCTGACTCCCTCTTCAAACAAGTAATTTGATCTTTAGGAGTTTCTCTCTGCTGCTTTACATCTGAGTGAATATTTTCTCCCACTTGTTGAAGTTTCCTAGCAGGTGTCTCTCTTGATGATTTGAGCCGTTGTATCTCCTGTTTGAGCATATTAACTTCACCTTCTTTTTCTTCAACTCATCTTGATTCTCAGCAGTCATCTGATTTGTAGCAATTAACTGTGCATCAAATTTAAACTGAAGCTCTGCAAATTGGGTATGTAAAATGTTAACATCTTTAATGGTTTTCTCCGTCAAAATCTTCTGTCTTGATATCTGCTGTTCCAATGTAGCAATGACACTTTTATAGTTCTTGATTTCATCCTGTAGATTCTTGATTTCCCTGGTCCTTGCATCCAGTTCAGCCTTTGCTTGTAATTTATGGGTATTCCTCCTTTTGGTTTTGACTGCATTATGAGCAGTGCACAAACTTGTGTGATGATTTTTTTTTGCAGATTTTTCAATTGGATTTGGACTGGCATTCCGCAATACGATGTCTCCCTAAACAATTAAAGCACAGTTTGTCATGTCTGACAATTTTCATCCTGTCATTGTGTCTTGTGTATCTTGTACAGCCATTTGAATGATGCGACTCCTTGCAAAATGCACAGCATACTCGATGATTCCGAGGACTGTAGTTCCGTTGTGGTTGCTCATCACTGGATTCTGAGTGCATGTAGAAAATAGCTGTAGCATGGTCTTCTGTTGTGTCCATATGAGTTCCTGCTTCTAGTATGTCAAGTTCCTTGTAAAGAGCCTTTCGTAAGTCGCCTAGTAACCAATCGGTAGATCCATGCTCGCGTGCTAGATTTTTGCGTAATTCACAAGGTAATTTGTTCAGAATCACAGGTACTAGAAGAGAACCATATGTATCTTGAGCTTGTCCGTATGATTCTAAACCTCTGACGTATGTCTCCACTTGGTCATGAAAATGACGCAGGCTTGTGGGATTATTCTTGGGAGCCGGTAGGTCTAAGAGCGCTTGCATGTAGGACTGAGTTATCTTATGTTTTTGTACAAATCTTTCATGTAGAAGCTCAATCGCTCTGTTGTAGTTTGCATGTGTGAGTGCAAATCCTGAAATGGTGTTTGATGCCTCTTCTACTAGTAAAGACTTTAAGTAGTTAAACTTTTGTACTTCAGTTAATGAGTTGTTGCTATGAATAGCTGAATCGAATGAATCCCAGAATGACTGCCACTCCAACACATTTCCCTCAAAAATGGGTAAGTTTAATTTTGGAAGTTTGTGAAAGTTACCACTGTTTGGATTTGAATGAAAGCTTGTAAGGGACTGATGAGTTCTTGAATTTTCACTGAAATTGTGTGTTGATTGACTGTTCCCTGCGAATTGCAAATTCTCCCCCTGATCTAAGAAACTGCTGGCAATTGCATTTTGTACCGACAAATGTTTCTTAAATTTCCTCATTTTAGAATTAAGATTGAAATTGTACTCATCTGTCTCCAGTATTTCTCTCTCAATATCCTCCTCTGCTGTTTCTGTTAGAATTTTTTCATCCAGATCTCTGAGAATTTCCTGTTTGTCCGTCAATGTCTCCAAAATAGTCTCAATTTCCTCTGCATCTGCATTTTCCTCATCCTGTTTTTTTTGAAGTCTGGTTACAGCATTAATCTGTCCTGCTCTTACTGCCTTCAGTTTAGAAGTCATCTCTCCTTTTTCGTCACGGCACCTGTCAAGATTGTAACACTCATAGAAAACACATCTGAACCGTATAGTGGTTTATTTGAAACTCATCAAGTTTACAACATAACGTTATAGTAACGTCTATGACGTCATCATACTATGACGTCATATGTCGGTAAATGTCATGAATATAATTGCATTGAACGCTAATTTAGAAAGGTATTACTGTCTATCATTCATAACAACAAGAAAACTAGAAAATTCCGTCAGCTGTTCAATGATTGCAAAAAAATCTATTTATCTGTAAATATCAAACGTACCTCCAGTGCATGAAGTTGTATTACAAACCAAATTTAATAGCATACCTATTTTTGTATTCATATAAAGCAGATTATGCAAGGAAAGAAGAAAATACTTGCTGTCGCATTCAACTCAACATTTAGATATATCGGCGACGTATTATCAGTTAAAAATGGTAAAGAACTACGAACTCTAACTCTTGATTCCCGCCTACATTTTGCACCCATTAAATTCAATATTAATGGCAATTTAGCCATTAAAACTTTGTTTAATACAAAGAATAATTCTATGGTTATTGATTAATCATTTTAATTCCAGCACTAGATAGTAAATCATCATTTATTCCAGCTCTTAAACAAGGGGGGTAGACGATATTTTCTAGTGAAATCGAACTTTCAAGAATCACCATATTTTTAAATAGTCTTAAATATGATAAAATTTATCTCATATCTTTTCTTATGTTTTACGCATATGATTAAAACATATTTGAATTAATAAAATACATCTATTAAGTTGTAAATAGCTTTAAAATTGGTGAAAAATCAGTATTTTTTTCGTTTTTTGTATATAAACATATGCCCCCCCCCCCCCTCCCCGTGAAACACAAAGAGCTTTGGCATAAATTTGTAAAATGACAGTCCATATTACCTGTAAAAAGGAATTTTTGTTTCACGGGGGGTAAGATGTTTTAAAAATATTTTCCGTTTTCCGTTGATTTCTATAGTGAAAAACACAAGTTTTACCAAAATTATAGAGTTATCTCTCTTTGGTATCCCAAATAAGTAACGTTTTATGAAAATTCATATAAATATCTATAAAAATTTTGAAAATCATTCGAATATGTTAACTTTTGAGAATTGACTTAGAGGTAGGCGGGAGAACAATACTATCGTTCGTAGTTCTTTCATTCTTATGTCGATTCGACATATCCCTATGAGGTTGAGATATAAGATACCACAGATTCTTCAACACATCTCTTTCACATATGTATATTTTACTTGAAAAAGACGTAAATGGTAATCTAACAACCAAGCTCTATGATAAATGTGATGACTTTAACTTTTCTACTTCCCTTGTCTATGGAACAATATACCTTCATCTCCTGCATACGGAGTATATATATCTCAGTAAGAGCATGCGCTACGTATGAAAAATTTCTAAAAGGAGGAAAATTATTGACAAACAAGTTGATGAAACAAGAATATCAGCAGTCTCGCTTAAGTCAAATGCTTTCATACTAATTGTTAGTCCATTATTCATACACTGAATTGACTGCTGTTTCCCCTGTTATTTCCCGATCATGACGACAAGGAGTACACTGCCGGTGTGACCGGTTAGCAGGGGATGCTCACTCCTCCATCGCATCTGATCTTACTTCTGATGCTTCAGAGGTCTGTGTTTGCTCTGCTCCTGTTTTATATTTTTAAATGGAATTTTGGTCGTGAATAGTGTTCGTTATCTCCATTATATATTCATGCGTACTTTTATAATTATTTCACATAAATTTCATTTCAAACCAAACATTATAAAGACATAATTTTAATTCAAAGAGAGGAAAAACATAATTATATTGATATTGCCATGACTCAAAGGTCGGTTTGCTTGTTTGCTAATTGATGATGTCGTAGTTGTACTTGATATTAGTGTTTTGTGTTGTGAAGAAAGCATTAATGGGTTACTAATTGTTGTTGGAGAGGTATTTTTTGTTATCCTATTGGAGGTTGTTGATATGGTTGTTTTCGATGAAGTTTTTGAAAATATGGTTGTTGTTTGTTTAATTCTTGTTGGTAAAGTAGTTGTTGTTGTTGGCTGAAGTAGTAATGGTTGTTGTAGGTGTTGTTTTCTGTGTTGTGGTAGTTGTTGTTGTTGGTTTCATGGTTGTTGTTGCTGTGGCAGTTGTTGTTGGCTTTATTTGTTGTTGCTGTAGTACTTGTTGTTGTTGTTGGCTTCATAGTTGTTGTTGCTGTTGTACTTGTTGTTGTTGGTTTCATAGTTGTTGTTGCTGTGGTCGTCGTTGTTGTTGGTTTCATAGTTGTTGTTGCTGTGGTCGTTGTTGTTGGTTTCATAGTTGTTGTTGCTGTGGTAGTTGTTGTTGGCTTTATGATTGTTGTTGCTGTGGTACTTGTTGTTGTTGTTGTTGCTGTGGCTTCATAGTTGTTGTTGCTGTTGTACTTGTTGTTGTTGGTTTCATAGTTGTTGTTGCTGTGGTCGTCGTTGTTGTTGGTTTCATGGTTGTTGTTGCTGTTGTACTTGTTGTTGTTGGTTTCATGGTTTTTGTTGCTACGGTAGTTGTTGTTGTTGGTTTCATGGTTTTTGTTGCTGTTGTAGTTTTTGTTGTTGTTGGTTTCATGGTTGTTGTTGCTATGGTAGTTGTTGTTGTTGTTGGTTTCTTGGTAGTTGTTGCTGTGGTAGTTGTTGGTTTCATGGTTGCTGTTGCTGTGGTATTTGTTGTTGTTGGTTTCATGGTTGTTGTTTCTGTGGTAGTTGTTGTTGTTGGCTTCATGGTTGTTGTTACTGTAGTGGTTGTCGGAATAGTTGCTTTAGTTTGTGTACTTGTTGATTTTCCTGTAGTCGTTGTTTTAGTTATTGATGTCCTTTTAGAAGTCATTGTTGTTTCCTGCTCACACTGTTGACCAATATAATTTGTCGAGCAAGAAATTGTCAGTTGTAATTTGATCCTAGATAACGGAAACAAGAACTATTAAACATAAGTTAATATTTAAAGGTTTACTAGTTTTCAAGGGAATAATTCATGTTAATCTCTTTTTTTAAGAATTAAATCTCTTGACTAATACATGTATCACGATTAAAACAATTCTTAAATCATGTATCAAGATAACCTAAAAATTTACAGACTCTTATGGATCTGAAAGATTAACCCCATTCAAACATTTAAAACGTAGTTTCGAAAGCAGGAGTATTACATGATTTGATTGCTTCTCACGTTAGGTTTTTATTTCCAGGTGTTGTCGTTACTGTCAATCCTGTAGTTGTATTTCCTCTGTACACAAAACTTGTCACGCCAAGATCATCACTGCCACCGACAGAATCGTAGTCGTAGACATAGACTGGTATACCAAATGAGGGCTGTGCGCAAAAATGGTAAACAGAAAATTAATACTATGCTTGACCTTATATCATTTATAATACGATTAAAATATATCATATTATATAAATATTATATAGAGCATTTACCTGCCCTTTGATGTTCCTCCACGTGTAGGAATCAGCATCTCTCAGAGCGTCAGTGAATAAAAAGTGATGTGTGTCAACGACTCGGTGATTTCCATCATTTCCATAGCACGTCTGTCTGAAGGAAAAAAGAGAAATCAAATAAATTCATTCCAAAATTAGGGGTTTTTTTTTTGGGAGGGGGGTCAACATTTTATCTGTATAACAACCCCATTTAATCGTGCAAACAGTCATCATAGACATTGCTTATATAAATAAGTATATAACATATTCTATTGTTTTAAACATTCTAGACAATTTAAACGTATGTTTAAAAAAATTGAGAAAGAGATATATTGAGAGAGAGAGAGAGAGATTTACTTTGGTACTGGTAGTAAAGGTTGCAGACAAACTTGGAAATAAACGTCACACTCGTGACATCCCCAAAATCCACCATCACAACTACAGTCCTGGTCTCTATTGTACTCCAGTAACTTTACTGACACATCATAGTCTCCAGTGATCTGTCAGTTATAGTGACACATTTATAGTGTTGGTATAAAAAATATAATGTTATGCAATAGTCAACTTGAAAATCAATCAAAATAATATCATGAGAAAATAAGAAAATTATGACAAGGAGAGAAAGAACAATGCTAGAAACGTGCAATAGGAAGAGTGATATACGAGAGTCGTTCAATTAGTAATGCATCATATTATATATAATAAATGGAGCAGAAGTTAATTTATTTTGTCAAACAAAAAAAAAATTCTAATTCTGAACTCCTAATCACCAAAAAGAATTTTTTTTGAACTGTTTTCGCAAAGAAATTCATTTTAGAATAGATTGTGTCACTGAGGTTAACACTGTTTTAACAAGGATTATGCCAAAAAAATGACAACAAGGACTCCTGAAAATTGCAAATAATTACAAATTTCGCGTAGGAACCTAAAAGGGGTTTTGTTTTTATCAATGAATTTCTATATTTCTCTTATATATGTACATAATATATATAATTTGATATAATCATTTTAACTTGATCCATTTATTAACTGGATTCGAAGGCACACTTAACATACAAATTATCTATAAGTACTAGGAAAATGCGTCACCAAATAGTATTTGAGCTAACTTTATATATATTTTGCTCATAATTAACATGTTTTGTTAAGTACTTTTTTATTTTATAAATTCAATATTTTTTTGCAAACAACCGAATTGTATTTGAATGTAGATTCAAGAAAACATCCAAAAGAATTTAAAGTACATGTAACTGTTTATATTAATTCCATATAATGATAACATCCTACTACATACCTGAAAAACATCCTTAAGAAATAAAACCACGAAGAATATCCATTTCTTCATCTTCATATATAAATATTTTTTATTCTATATGCTCAACTTGCATTGACAAACGCTTCTTCATGGAACAAAAGATTTTAAGAAGTATCATCGTAAATGTACTTTGTTTGCTTTAGTTTCTGAAAATTCTCTGAAAAGATAAAAAAAAAGATAAATATTCAGGATTTGGAAACACCAGTTTTTATATTATGCTACACTGATATTTTCCTTCGTATTTGAACAAACCTGAAAAGTTAAGTATATCTAGTAAAAATTAAGTGCAAATCACAATTATGGTTTTCATTGTAGATTGCGCGATGACTAAACAGTTCTAGCTAATTTAAATAAATTGGAATTAGAACTTTTCTTAAGGTCTCGTCAAAGGTCAACATGCCTAAAAATTTATTTTTACAATAGCTCCAAAACTATGTGCGGAATAAAGTTAAAACTTTTACCGTGTATAAATATATCACTGAGTAACAGATAGAAAGTATAATTTGAAAACAAATATTTTAAAAAAAGATATTTTTTGAGAAAAATTGTATAAGAAAATGTGCATATATAAGAAGTGCACCTGCTTAATTCTGTCCTTTTTGTGAAAACCATCATTGCAGAAATAATATATGTTTATCATTGAAGGGCGAGTTGGACATGAATGGTCTCTGAAAGGCTGTTATTGAAAGCATGACATGTATAAAAACGAGACCCCTGTAGAACCCGCCATTTGCAATGTACTTTCGCTTTCGATTCTTAACATTTGGACAAAATAAACTGGGAAAACAACTTTTCGGAGGCTATCCAAGTCCAACTTGCCCTTCATTGAAAAACATATTTTGTTTCTGCAGTGATAGTTTTCACTAAAAGCAGGGAATTAATTAGGTGCATTTTCTGAAAAAAATATGCATTTTTAAACAGATTTTTTCTCAATCTAAATTCGGAAAATTAAGTCAATTAAATTTGAAATGAAAAATGGCAATTCAAATGACGTCTTATACACTCGAATTTCGTAAAATACTAAAGACTGCCTGATTCTGATTCGAGAAAATAAATATACAGTTTGTTTTTTATTCACAAAATAATGTTCAAATGCAATGAAAGTTGGAGGATATTTTTGTTAATGACTTACGATTTTTATAACACGGATTTTGTTTAATTACTTCTATTATTAAGATAAATTTTTGACAATTCCGAAGACATTTTACCTATTATCTGTCTCTCCATGCTAATTGCTGTTTTGATGACAATATAAAAATTAAGCTATCCCAAGAACAGTATTACACAAAGCATTAAGGCGAATGAACATTGTAGTTCGAGGGTTGCTAAATCATATCAGTTGTTGGAAATTCTTGATCTATTTTTTATAGTCCAATGTAGAAAAAAATAAATGTTTATGTTCATGTTGAAGGTCTAGTGCAACATGATTTTTAAAATGATGAACCACGACCAATCAGAGGGCTAGTAATTGTTACATCATACAATTGGAATATATTAAAATATCCAAATATAAACATATTTATTAAGAATTATCAGTATAATATAACCATAAATTTTCTTGATTGTCCAGCTCTGATTCTGTGTCCCTACATTTGCATTTTGTTATTCTCAGTCAAAAAGTCAACTGTATTCTCAAATATTTTACGTTGTGAACGGATAATTTTGTATTGAAAGTGTATATAAATTAAAAAAAAAAATAAATTTACAAAATATGAAATAAGAAAAGTTTGTGTTTACAACCCCCCCCCCCCCCCCTCGATTCTTGATGCAACCTTACACTACCTTAACAAAGAAGTGTGGACCAAGTTGCCTTGTAAAGTTTTTGGAGTGTTCGAGAAAATTTTGTTGTCAAGAGAAGTGTTGACTAGATCGAAGTCAAGAATGGCTTAGGCCTATCGGTACGAAAGCTTGTAAGTGTTAGGAATCACGAGGAATCTGCAGGCGCTCTTAAATTGCATAATTATACAACTCTTCTCACCAAAATATGCACACAATGTGATTCCAGATGATAAAGTTTGAGAATTTTCTTGCTAATAGAATGACCTTTCTACCTGAAAAGACAACAAATCATATACGCGGTCACGAAATAAAGAGCTACATTTCTTGAATATCAGAGATTTTTTTTTACATTCCCTACCCCCACCCCGCATGAAAAGCGGGAGGGTATAAAGTAATCGATATGTACGTCCGTCTGTTACGTTTTGGGCTACCAATCTCTTATCTGCAACTCCTCTCTCATACCATTGAATGAAATTTGATGAAATTTCACAGAATCTTAATTACATATATGTATTAAACAATGTGCACCTCATATGTTACTTTTTGATTCGACACATATTTTGGCCTTCCTATAGCAAAACATGGACAATGCCAATATATTCATATGGGAGAAGGGGGTATCATTTAGTGAGCTAATTGCTCACAGTACCTCTAGTTCATTTTGCATAAGGTTTTTGAAAAAAATAGATTTTTAACATTTGAACATAAATGTGTTGTTTCTTGAGTGTTTATTGATTGATTGTATATTGTTTAACGCCGAGTCGGCAATTTCTAGCAATGTTTCGGCGGACTATCAGTTTAATTAATCGGTTTTTGAAGGATTGTGGTTTCTCTGTAAGCGGCCCCCAGTGAGCTTACTCTTTTTCAAACTCCAGAGGAACCATTTTTTTACGTGCAAAGGGGGTTGTCATCCTTGACATAGGGTACCAGTTTACTTGAGTGTTGACAATACCAAAATTCCGTAGACATACTGAAACATTTAGCAAATAAATCTGGAACAGAAGATGTTAGGGATAATACCAAGTTTTTATAAGTTCTAAAAAGCTGGAACAAAGTGTTCGATGAAATCGGACAAGAATTTCTTCAGTTATTTGAATTGCCATTTTGAGCTAATTAACACATTTCAAATTTAATTGACTTAATTTTCCGAATTTAAGTGATAAAATCAGTGTTCTATTGTTATTTTACATGGTTGTACTACGCTCAGTAAGATATTCACAAATCCTTTCTCCTATGTAAACGACATTAAGAAATAATTTGACAAAAAAATGAATATCCGCCATTTTGAATGAGATGAAAGGGAAAATACAAATTTGCAGTGTATGGATATTTACAAATGTAAAATCCTGAGCAAAGAAGAATATAGAAACAATATACAAAGATATCGGAGAAAATTCGAATTAAGTGTAGAAACGACTAAATTTTCTGAGTTGAACTAATAATGTTAGAATTCTATTATATTTTTTATAGTTTTATTACACTCAGTGAGATATTCACTCATTATTTCTCCATTTTGAACGACATTAAGAGTAAATTAGAAAAATTTGATGTCCGCCATTTTGAATCGCCATTTTGACCTATTTAACGCCATTTTCATGAAGGCCAGCATATTTTTCGGATTCAGCATACTCGAATTAGGTTAAAAAACTATGCTGGACCAAATAATGATTATTTGCCGTTAGAAGTATTTTTTTCCATAAAATTGTAGATTTAGCACTAAAAGAGCACACAATGGGTAAGTATACTAGTAATTCATTCATCTTCTTTTAGCTATAAACTATGTAGACGTTTGAACGTATGCATGCAGAGCTTATTTTTCCTCTTTTTACACATCCTCCACCCGGGCAACAAAATTAAAAACCTTCAGAACAACGCCGATTTTATAGATAACTACATGTAATATATAATATTACTCCAAGTATGCTACTCAAGTAAAATCCTGATTTATTTCACAGTTTAGTTAAGATATGTCATTAAAACTGTTAGACTTCATTGCTCAATTACTTCAGATGAATTTTGTCCATGACATTTGGCAAAGGAATCTTTTAGTGTATACTTTTCTGACTTAATCGAGAAAATATCCAAACCAATCTTACATTTATAACATTCATTTCATATACTAAAAATTCTAATATCTACCTGAGGAACATTCCAAAGGAAGAAAATCACGACAAACATCGAATTCTTCATCTTAATAATATCATTATTTCTTTCTTTCTCTCTTCACCATCCAGTTCTAAATGTGAAAAGGGATTTTTGTCTCGTCTTGTCCTTGACTTTGCTTTAGTTTCTAAAATCCCCTTAAAGAGCTACAATGAAAAAGATCTCCAGAAGTTGGAGACACCTTATTTTTAATCTTTGATTTACTCTATATTTAAATACTAATGTAGCGGTGTTACAATGTGAAATGTAATAACACCGCAAAATGTAATGAGGGGATTTATAAAATTTTGCGTTATTACATTTTGCATCGAGATCAACGCAAAATGTAATAATCTTAAAACATGTGTTGCTACATTTTGCGTTATTACATTCTGCGTTGATCTCGACGCCAAATCTAGTCACGCAAAATGCAATTATGTAGATATAGTTATTACATTTTGCGTTGTCATTTCTATAACATTTCGCTTTGTAACATAGCGGTTTACAGAAAAAAAATCACCAAAATATTTCAATTGTGGAGACAATCAAGGAATTTTGCACGTTTATTCGACGTGCAGTATAAGAAATTCTCACAACTTCCTGATGGATTAAGATAAATGAAAAAAGTTATAAAAAAGAGAATTAGTTATTTGTTTACCTAGATTTAATAAGACATTATCCCTAAGTTGACATTATTTTGTCGCTCAGGTGTAGTTGTTATAACCTCGGCTCTACAGTCCCAGTAAGGAGCTGATCCTTACGACGCAGGTTGGAAAGCAGGACTGCAGACTGGTCCTTCGGATGTAGACTGTATAAACCGAGGTGCCATTTCACAAAAGGTGTTGTAACGAAAAAGATCTCTCACTGCCCAATTCCCCTGCCGACCATTTTATAAATTTGTAGCCCTGCACCGACAAGTGGTGGCGTCCGTAAGAGTGAGAATTCTCAAGAGGGGTGTTAAACAAGAAAAAAGTAAATTAGCTAATGATTTAAATTTGATCTTCTGTTTTGGTCTTGCCAATCTCAGAAAGCTGCTAATTTGACCAAACTTGAATCTGCAGTAACTGAGGGTAATTCTTTATCAATATAACTAATAATGGGTTTGCTTTACTGGAGAGTTTTTTTTTGAATATGTCTTCTCTATTCCTGAGCATAACTTTGATCTCCTACGTGAAGGTGATTGAAGAATGATTTCAAAACAATGACTTGATTTTAGACTACCTGAGGATGTAAAACGTTGTATTCTAGATGTGTACATACAAAAACTCCATAAATTGCTGTGAAGAGGACTCACCACCTGTAATTCATTAATATCAGTAAAATTCAAGGCTTCTTGCAAAGAAAAAAGTTTGAGATTATCTTGGAGTTTAAGATCACTTTCCTAAGTATGATATACTGTATGTATATATATTGCTGTAGTTCAGACAAGTTCAAATTGTTTACAATACTTTGCGTGAAAGCTCATATAATACGAAAAAACAAATTTTGAGAAAAGGGAAATATATAAGCTGACTTCAATGATCCAGTCAAATTGAGTAAAATGAGAAGAATGAAGAAAACGAAACGTCTGTAAATAGTTGCCTATGCGGAGTAAGCATCAACCATTGAACGGTCACACCCGCCTTGAGCCGAAATGTATTGATCAGCTTGATAAAATTTTTTATATTATTTTTGTGAGGAATGGATGATCATCGTTAACAGTGTAAAAAATTGTACGTACGGTTTGATGTTACTGACTACTGATTTTTGAAGTTTGACAATTTTAACTTTTCTTTAAAAAATTCTCTTTGTCCTTTTTGGAATCCGCATCTGATATACACAACTTCTAGAATAGAACATTTCGTCTTTCTATTTTTTAACCACCTCCGATCTAGTGAAAACGAAAAATATAGATGATTTCAATGTTGCATAAGGTGGTGATGTTTGCTACAATTATGTCATAATTTGTTCTGGGAAAATACTCTATATCTGTATACGTTAACATACTTACAAAGTAATCATTTTACCTTTTTTATATTTTATTTTTAAAGATATTGTATTCTTATCTTGGCCAATATTGTTCCAAAGAACAATTTGCATACGCAATTTTTTTTTAATTTCAAGAAACTAAGGAGAACGACATATTATACTGGAATCTGTACTGTTAAGAATGAATAGGGTTTTATCTCAAGTATAAACACATCAAGGAGTCTCTTCAAGATTTATAGGACAGAGAGGTTTAATTGTGCACTTGATTTTTATCTTCACAGTTAACCTTGCAAACACTTGGCCGAGATTAAAACAGAAGTATGATGTACATACAGAATACATGTACCTCTGGAGTTTCTCAGTGGGAAGTCGTTAGAACCTGATAGGATCGAACAACGTTCATGTAGAACAAATCTGGTCTACATCTATGTTTAATTGCTTATCATTGTAAGAGAAACAAACAGATCTGTTTTACCCTTGATTTATGTAAAATATTGTCTCCTCTTATCTAAATATAATGTCAAAATATTGAACATAACGAAGAACAAAATACATGCATGATGAATATGGAGACAACGAACAGTTTTTAATATCAAAGTCCGAAAAACAATACAAAATAGGAGCAGAGCAAACACGGACCTCCAAAATATCAGAGGTAGGATCAGGTGCCATGGAGGTAGTGAGCATCCCCTGCGACTGGTCTCACTCGACATGTGCTACTTGTCAATATCGGTTAATGACGGAAAAATCCGTCCACAATTCAGTGTATAAATAATGGACTAACATTTAGTATGAAAAAAAATAAGTCAGCATTTGACTCAATAATAAATTTTCCTAAAATGCGATAATCATTTTCAGTTTGGGACTAGGCATAATTTTACAAATAATAATTTTACAAAGATTAAACTAAAAGCTAACAGTTTAATCAAGTTTAATAGCGTAACACCTGTTCACATGCATCTTTCATCTTTGACTCAATGATAAATTGTATTTGCTGACAAGGTCATTGTATCTACCACAGAACTTACAAAATGATGACTTTAAATGAAAATGCTGATATTCTTGTTTCATCAACTTGCTTGTCAATAATGTACCTCGTTTTAGAAATTGTTCATACGTAGAGCATGCTCTTGGGTAACGAATCAACTGATATATATATATACTCAGAGTGCTAGAGTTTTTAAATAACAATATCCATGTGGTTTTTGGAGACCAGGCCCTTAAATAATTTATTGAAATTCGCATGGGTACTAATTGCACCCATTTACTTTTAAGGAATGGAGTGCTACGAGTATATTAATCTGCGTAAATCCGCCTTTCTGAATGCTTGTTTTTATTGTTTGTTAATACATAATAAATAATATTTATATGATACATTGTAAATACTTTTTACATATTAGTAGAAGTATTTATATATAATATAGAAAGAAAAACTAAAAATAGTGTAAATCCATGTCTCACAGCTTCGTTAGCTCAGTGAAATGAGCATCGGACTGCTATGATGAGGATTTCGGGTTCGAATCTCATCACGGGTGCTCTAATTTTCTTATGTGAAACCAACATTTACAATTTTCTAAAACTCTTCTCTAACATTTTCTCAAGTTCTTTCCTTGGTAGAGGCACGGAAAGGAGAATAAGACCATAACAAATTTCGTTTTCAATGAAGGATATGGAGATAACGAACAGTATTCAATCTCAAAGTCCATAAAACAATACAAAATAAGAGCAGAGCAAACACGGACCCCCGAAACAACAGAGGTGGGATCAGGTGCCATGGAGGAGTGAGCATCCCCTGCCGACCGGTCACACCCGCCGTGTGGTCCTTGTCATGATCAGGAAATAACTCAAGAAATCCGTCGTCAATTCAGTGTATAAACAATTGTATAAACAATTGGTATGAAAAATGTCAGTCAGCATTTGACTCAATGATAAATTGTATTTGCTGACAAGGTCATTGTATCGACCATAGAACTTACGAAATGATGTCTTTGACAATGTAATTTGCAACTCTCTATTCCTTAAAAGTAATGGACCGCTCAAACAAAAGAATGGCGTCACAGGTGGATTTAACTATGATATCCTGGTTAGATTGAGATAAAAAATACCACAGATTATGACACATCTGATCTATATATGGATATTTGCTTGAAATAGACGTCACTGGTAATCTAACCACCACTTCTCACTGCTCACTTCTCCACTTCTAATGTTTTGGAGATCCGCGCGTTTGCTTTATGTATTGTTTTATGGACTTTGATATTGAATACTGTTCTTTATCTCCACTTCCTTCATCCACTAAAACTATTTATAATCCAGAAAATTCAGAGTAGAAATGTTTGATAGCAAAACATACACACAGTATATTGTCAGTCCGTGCAATGGTGAGCACACTTTAACAATTAATTGAACACATCCGATGCATCATAAACCGTAATGATAACAGAGCTCCTGCCCTGTTTACATGAAATGTGTACGTCAAATAAATGGGTGTGTTCAATTTGCTAAACTCTGTACACAACACTAAGCGCGGAATGACGATACTTGTGAAGGGGTTTGCTTTCACATATTTCTACTCTGAAAAGAATTATTTTTCTTGCTTAATTGTAATATTTTTCATTAAAATACAACATAATTGCTTTGATTACTTTTTCTCAGTATTTATCATTTTTTCGTGTGAAAAGCTATCACAAAATATAATTCGTGATATTATACAGAAAAAATTAACTTCAAATTTGTGTCTATGCACCTTTAAATTCAGTAATTAGCCTAAATAACGATATTGAAAAACACGTTTTTACAATATGGACAGAACAAATAATAAGTGTTACGAGTTGTGGTCACCTTTACTTTAGTGAAAATATGAACACTCTTTTTAGAATCCATCAAATATTGCTAGATTTAAACTTCAGGATTGATACGACGGAATCTGAAAAACAAACATACAAACACATATAGTTTTATTACACAAATATACACCTTTTAAAAGTGAAATAGTTTTTGAATATGATATCGTTAAGAATAAAATAATGATATTACCTTGATTTTGTCAAACACAAACACGTAACAGCACCAATAATTACTAACAATACGGCAGCAGAAACACCGACAATTACAGGAAGCCATTTCTATGTGAAAGATTGCAATGCATTTGATTAAATATAAATATATGTTATACACAGTCCGTTTAAACAATAAATATCAGTAACCGGGGGAAACACGGACCTCTAAAACATCAGAGATAGGATCATGTGCAATGAAGAGTTGAGCATCCCACCGACCGATCACACTCGACGTGTGCTCCTTGACATGATTGGGAAATAACAGGAAATTCAGTTTGAAAATTAAATGGCCTAACAATTTTTTTATGAAAAACATTTTATGCATTGATAATTTGGATTTTAAAAAATTTACTCTACCTCAATAAAGGTGGTTTTAGATGTAATCGCTGTTGATGGGAATTTCGACCGTTTTTGTTCTTGTAGGCATAATGGGCGTCTGTTTTGTCGTTGAAGTACTCGTTGCTCTTGTTAGTGTTCTAGGTGGAGTGTCCGTTGTTGTTGTTGTTGTTGTTGTTGTAGAAGTAAAAACCACTGTTGATGGAGTAGTGTTTGTTGATGATAGAGTTTTATAAATCGCTGGGATTGATGTGTTAGCCATCGTTTTTGGTGAAGATTTGTTTGATGGGGTTTTATCATTCGCTTGTGTTGGAGCATAAACCATCAATTTGGGTGAAGAGTTTGTTGTAAAAGATTTTAAAATTACTGCTATCGGAGTGTTGGCCATGGATTTTGATAAAGATTTTGTTGTTGTTTTATTATTCGCTGGTGCTGGAGTGTAAGCCATTGTATTTGAAGAAGATTTTGTTTTTGTAGTTTTATTATTCGCTGGTAACGGAGTGTAGGACATTACATCTGATGAACATTTTGTTGTTGTAGTTTTATTATTCGCTGGTGTCGGAGTGTTGAACATTGATTTTGATGGGGTTTTATTATTCCCTGGTGTTAGAGTGTAAGCAATTGTTTTTGGTGAATATTTTGTTGTTGGGGTTTTATTATTCGCAGTTGTCGGAGTGTTAGCCAATGTTTTGATGAAGATTTTGCTGATAGAGTTTTATTATTTGCTGGTGTTGGAGCGTAAGCCATCGATTTGGGTGAAGAGAGAGAGGGTTTTATAATTCGCTGGTGCTGGAGTGATCGACATCGACTTTGATGAAGATCTTGTTGATGTAGTTTTATTATTCGCTGGTGCTGGAGTGTTCGCCATCGCTTTTGTATTCAAAATTGTTTTTGTATTAGTCGTTATTGTTGGCATAGTATTTGTCGTTTTTAAATTTGTTGGTCGGTTTTTGTTCATCATCGAAAGCCTTTTAAACTTTATTAATTCTTAAGACACTTGGATCGCCTATCAGCAAACATATATATCATTTGACTTTATGAATTCATATACATGTAAAACACAAACTGGGTACAGCGTACGTTTTTATGCTATAAGTAAAATTTACACTCTCCATCCAGTTATCTTTCGCTACGGTCACATCTCTGTCAACGCTCTTGTACAAATTTCACACAGCGAAGATTCGAATGATAATTAATCATTGTAAATATTGATAAAGATGATAATTCATCATTTATTTTAAATCTATAATCACTCAGAACGACTTATTTTCAAAGATTTTGGGGAACTATTTTATGGAGTAAAAATTAAAATCTGAAATAAAGATCCATTTAAGGTGTAACAAACTAAAATATATAGTGTTTTCTGATAAAAAAAAAAAATATAATTAAACACTATTATTTTTTCAACTTTTAATCAAAAGAAATTTTTCCAAGAATCTTCTATAACAAGCGTTGATATGTGGAGAAAAGCGATAGTGACAACTCAGGGTAGAGAATGGTAAAATTTTATGTTCTAAAAAGGGGACCTGTCTTCTTTTTCGATAGTAAATGATATGCAACTTTATACATGCATATCAAATATGAAAAAAAAAATTAAAGATGTACTTCATGGAGGTACACGAAATATATCCACACATAATATTTATAATTATGTTCAACATGTGTTTATTTTAATATATATAATATATTTTAATATATATTTCTTCTCACAGGTGTGTTACATCTGTTTATTACATGCTATCAATATGTTTTACATATAAACGAAAAACATACTGTATTTTACCTGTATTTAACACATTTCGACATTTTTCTTGTTTAAATATTGTGTATATCGTAATTTATAAAGGAAAAGAACATCCTGATGTATAATCTTTCTAATGTACAGTTGACTTTAATTCTGAATATCTTCTTCCATCTCAACCCCCGTACAAAAAACTTAAATTTATATGCATAAGAGCTATCCGGTCTTCAGGGCTGCTATAACGTTTTGCATCATTTATAAATAAACTTCAATGATTGATGTCTCGGACAAAACTCTGAATTATTGATTGATATAATTTGTAATTTAAAAACTATCTAATAAGATTAACTTTGAAAACCATTATATTAAAGTAAAAGATTTATATTTTATAATAAGTTTATTCTTCTCAAGTTTTTATTCCAGGGTCTTGTCGGCGTGGCGAAGATCAATCCCGTAGCTGTATTCCCTCTGTGCACAAAGCTTGTCACGCCAAGATCATCATTGTCACCGAGAGAATCGTAGTCGTATGCATGGATTGATACATTAAAAGAGGGCTGTGCACAAAAAAGCAATACGAAAAGGAATAACATGATTCTCTCTATAACATTTATGACATATTTTATTATATCACTTGTATTTTGGTTTCATTGTATAATATTTACTTGTCCCCTGATGTTCCTCCACGAGTAGGAATCAGCGTCTCTCAGAGTGTTAGAGAATGAAAAGTGATGTGTGTCATCAACTCGCTGGTTTTCATCATTTCCATAGCACGTCTGTCTGAAGAAAGTTCAGCAAAAAAAAAAAAAAAAACGATTCACGTAATGTTTTATACAATAGATAGAGAAATTTTTCCTTGAATTCAATTTTCTCGAAACTCTATTACTAGTATTTTGTTTTAGGCAATAAAATCTCTACTTATTGAGTTTTTTTCTTTTTCTTCATAGCATGAAAGAAATTCAACCACACATTTTTTTTCCATAAAGGATATGGAGATAACGAACAGTATTCAATAATTTGAAAGATTGTCCATGAAGATGTACATGATGTAAGAGGACTGTGAAATCAGACTGTGGACTTAAGAATGTGCTTATTTAAAAATTATAATTCGTATTTTTTTCGATGTTTTTTTATGAAAAGAAAACTTTTGTTTATAAAATTCATTCAGAGAGAGATTAACCTTTGTGTCGGTAGTAAAGGTTGCAGACAAACTTGAAAATAAACGTCACATTCGTTACATTTTGAAGAAAAAAGCCACCCTGTTTTAGGATCACAACTACAGTCCGGGTCTCTGTTGTACTCCAGTAACTTAACTGACACGTCATAGTCTCCTGTAACCTATCAGTATAAGGTGACATTAATAGTAATGATATGAAGAAAATATAATGATATGCATTAGTGGACTTGAAAATGAAACGTTTTCAGAGTTTTTAAACATTTTGAAATAGAACTGGTCGTACATATTTAAATTGTTTAAATTTCAATGTTATGAATATTCTCAAATTAATGTGCTTTAGTCATATCTACAATAACTCTTTTTTTTATATACATGTATATATATAAGTGAACACACACGATGTTTATAATGGGAAGTTAGCATTCATTCATCTTTATCCCAATGAACAATAAAAATATAATAAGTTTCAATGACAAAAGATTTTCATGCAGAGCCTTTTTTGTTTTTTTGGAAATCCTCCAGGCACAAAATTAATAGACCTTTAAAACAACACGAATATCTAAAACTGATTCAATACATAAGTAATAACGGTATATATTAACAACATGGTTATCAATATGCAACTCAAAATGATATTCTGATTGATTTTGATATATGATATCTACAGTACATACTAGTATTTACATCCACTTTTTTTATACTAATAGCATTTTATATATACCTGAGAAACATTGCCAAGAAAAAAAATGGCAAATATCCAGGTCTCCATCTTATTAATATTATTATTCGATTTTTTTTTCTCTGCACCAACTAGTCCTTGATGGGCAAAAGATTTTTATAAGTTTGTCTTGTCCTGTCTTTGTTTGCTGTAGTTTTTCAAAACCCCTTAAAGATAAAAAGATAAAGATCTCCAGAAATTGGAGACACCTATTTCATCTTTTACTTTACTGATATTTGCTTACTATTGTAGAAGTTTTCAAAAAAAAAAATCGACAATATTTCACTCAGTGGAGACAATCATAAATGGATGAGCAGAAAACCCAAGGTCCCATTTCTCAGTAGGTGTTTATAAAAAAAGACCCCTCACTGCCAAAAGGCCCATAGTGCTGATCATAAGTTACAGCTCGCCACCGGCAAGTGATGGTTTTTCCATATGAATGGAACAAAATCTCGATAAAAACAAGTTTACATGACTTTATATTAGAAGGTTTTTCCTAAATAATTTTAATTCATCTTCTGTAGTGGTTTTTAAACCCAAAATTTTATAAGGTAAATGTTTTTCACCTTATCATGTTTTATCAATTTCATTATGAAGGGTGTGTATTTTTTTTTTCCCAAATTGTTCCAATGCATAAATTGCTTTTCTACTACTTTAATCTAAATAAACTAAGTGAAACAACATATTGGACTGCCATGGAATCTATACCGTTGCAAAGTCGCTTCTGTAACATGTCACCTTTTCCCTACATTTTTTCCTGTTTTGTAAAATAAATGAGTTATATCTCAAGTTAAACACCTTCCAAAAGACAAAGATTTTTAATGGTGCTCTTGATTTTTGATTTTCACATTTAACCTTGCAAACACTTAGCCGAGAAAAAAAAAAGTATGATGTACCTAAAGAATACAGGTACCTCTTGAGATACTCAGTGGGGAGTGTACAAAATTTAAAGGAACTGTGAACTTTTTTTATATTTAGAGAATATTATTTTAATCATGGTATACATCTATGTTAGACTATTAATTATTGTTCAAAATGAAAAGTTCTGTTTTTTTTAAACATTACTTATAAAAGAAAATATTTAAGGAATCCTTC